CCCCCGCCTGCACCCCACCCCCAGCCCGGCCATTTACGATAGTGGTAGTGTGGGTACGCCCTCCGTTGGTATACCCTTGAACTGTTGAAGTATATAAGTGAGTTCGAACTCCACTTGAAGCGGATGAGCAAATATAGTAAATATTATAATTTCATGCGGCATATAAGTCCGACTGTACATGCGGTTGAGTATACTTCAGACAATGGTAGTGTGCGTACGTCCCCAGTTGGCACAACCCTCGACCACCTCATTTCAGTTAATTCCCAGAGCAATTATTCTACTTTACAAAAAGGGTGACCAATGAGAAATTTGTAATTGACGAACTATTTCTAAGCTTACAAAACTACATAAGATTTGCGCTACATTATTAAATTTGGTCACTACAATGGATAAACCACTTAATTCTCCAAAGCCTCCAAATAATATTTTCACCACTCTGCAATGCTTAGAATTTACTAACTCTATTTGAGTTTGTTCCATAAGGTTTGACCAGTATCCTACTTGATTTTGAGAAAGCCTATGATTGTGTTAGATATGTTTTCTTGTAAGGTTTGAGACGTAAAGGTTTTTGAACTATAATTGGAATGTGGATCGTCATGCTCTTGACTTCTAGAAAGGACTGCTTTAAATCAATGGTCTACGCTCACAACCTTTTGTGATCTCACGGTCGGTCCATTCTACGCAAACAGGTTTTGTACCAGACTGCCAAATTATGAGCAATATTTTCACCACACTGCAATGCTTAGAACCCATTGACTCTGTTCCACAAGGTTCGGTCATTATCCTACTTGATTTTAAGAAAGCCTATGATCGTTTTTCGCGGGTCTTCTCGTTGGATGGTTTGAGATGTAAAGGTTTGAAAACTAGAAATTCAATTCGAATGCAGATCGTCATGCTCACGACTTCCGGAAAGGTTGCGCCTCAAATCAATTGTCTTTGCGCACAACCATTTGTTATCTCACGATCGGTCCATCAAGGTTATTGATTGTCACATGCCTTGTACGTCCTATACGTTGAACACCTTCACGACCCGATCCAGGCTTCTCAAGTACTAAAGAGACTCTCTCTACCTTGCGAAGAATTGCGCTCTTCGGCCTTTGTGGATGATTTCGTTGCCTTCAGCTTAGCTTGAGGTCAACTGACAGAGCTATACCCTGTGTAGCATCGTGTTCGGGTTCAGTGACCAAACCTAAACGTTCCCGACCGAACGCGGACGGGCGTCAAAACCTTCCGAACACGAACATGAAAATATTAGTAAAAAGTACTTAAAAGAAGAAGAAAAAAAAAATCTTAGAAAAATGTGAAAACAATATATGTTATGTAAAATAATAATACAAACAGCTTTTGCATCAAAGATATGCTGAACTTCGTAATCAAACTCGATTTAAAAATAAAAAACCTAAAAAAAACTTACAAACAGCTTTTGCATCAAAGATATGTTGAACTTCGTAACCAAACTCGATTTAAAAATAAAAAACCTAAAAAAATCTTTTTTCTTTTTTTTTATATCTTCGGCTGAACAAGTTCGCGATGCGTTCGATCGAACACCCGAACATGTTCGGACGTTCGAAAAAGCTCGAAACATGTTCGGTGTGCTACACAGGTTATCTCGTTATTTGAATATGTTCTTAGAATTTCTAGGAGCAAGACTCAACTGGGACAAAACCATCGCAATTGTATTCACACCCACGAACAGGATTCAAGATCAAAAGGTTGATTTCCTTCGTAGGGGCCAATTTTTTGAAGTACTCGGGATTCAAATGGGCCAACAAAGTGGTTTGCATGATAAACTTCATCGTGGAATTGAAAACATCTTTGACACCATTATGATACGCTTGCGTGGAAATTTTAGAAGAGCCTTCATCATTAATAACACGGTTCTGTCTACCATGTGGTATATCTCAGTCGTCTCAGCCCTCCCAAGGTACTCTTCGAGCAATAAGAAAATTTCTCTCGTCATTCAGTGTTGAGGTTGAATCCACTATCCCAAGGGTATTATGGTGGAAGCTGATTTAGCCACGGAGGGAGGGCGGGCTTTCCATTCTGGATACCTCTACTCAAGTCAATGCTCGCCAATGTCGTACCATATTATGGCTACTAGTTACCGTTGGGCATGACGTTTGGAAGCAATTGGTCCTACAGATGCGTTGAAGAATTCTTAAGTTTCCTAAAGTGGCGGTGTGAATAAAGTTCTTGCACCTGAACCTGCTCACACACATACAACAACATTCTGTGTGGACAAAGCCTCTCTCAATCTGGAGGAAGCTGTGTTTTACATTAATGATATCCAAAAATGTTTCTCATATTCTTATTCAACCTATTTTTCAATAACAATTTTATCCTTACACAGAAAGGTTTCCATTTTTATTTGTCAGGAGAAAGTGGAGTTTTTGATCGACTATGGATGAAACCAAAGGCCTTTTTAATCAAACATTTGTGAAATGTGGAAACTAAGGTTTGACGCACCATTCAAGATCTCAAAGGTAAGATCTCTTTACAGGCCCGTTTGAGAACAGCATCTCTCATCCATCCTCAGGGATGTCCTGGAAAATTAGGTACGTCAACTTCGCTTTCCTACAATAAAGAAGGGGAAATGGGTCAAGATTGTGGCTGATTCGACACCTGTAGCGGTTTTCGCATCAAATAAATGATATAAATAGGGACTCCGAGCAAGTCTTCGTCTCAACCTGGACCTATAACTCTGGGTATGATGGTATAGAGAACCCTCTGATCTGAAAAAAAAAATACTGGTTGAGAGGAACTCGATGAGTCCCTCGACCTAATATCTATAGCAATCGTTCCTCATAGACTGCGAAACGACCACAAACATTTCTTCCATTTAAATTCCGAACACCTGTGATGAAACTCCTCCTTGATCCTTCCACATGGTACGTCTCCCCAAAAGACATGCAAAAGAAAACCCTTCGTTCTGATGAGCCTACCACCAAAACGCTTTATCGCTTGCATACCACAACTTTCAAAATTTCTGTAAATTTAAAACTTGTGTAGCACACCGAACGAGTTTGAATTTTTTTTGAATGTTCCAACATGATCGGGTGTTCGTCCGAACGCCTCAAGAACGTGTTCGAACGAATATTTTTTTTCAATTAAAAAAAAAATCTTAATTTTATTTTGAGGTTTTTTATTTTTATAATTTTTTAACTCGAATTTGATTATGAATTTGAGTATACCTCTCCTGCAAAACTT